TTTTTTTTTTTTTTTTTTTTTTTTTTTTTTTTTTTTTTGAGATAGGGTCTCACTATGTTACCCAGGCTGGTTTCCAATTTAGGATCCTACTACAGTAGCTCAGCCTCCCAAGTAGTTGGGATTATAGCCTTGCACTACCACATCAAGATCCAAAATCAGATTTAAGAAGACTTTAAAGATGTTTGCCCCACTGAGATAGGTTCGTTAAGTCAAGGTCAGGGCCAAGACTGGAAAAACTTGAGATCCTTGATATGAAATGAAGTCATTGGGATGGCTGACTAAAGCTTTTGGGTTTTTTTTTGGGGGGGGGTACCTGGGATCGAACTCAGGACCTTGCCTCTGTGAGGCGGAACCACTGAGCTAAATTCCTGGCCCTGGCTTCTCTTGACTGAAATTTTAGAGCTTGTAAAGGTTGCTCACTCCTCTACTATGGTGTTAGAATCCCTCCCTGTGAGAACATCTTAGTTGTCAGGTCTATACCTAGCTAGGTTTGGCATAACCCACCTATGATACACTGGCTCTACTAATGAGGAACAGTACTTACTGTACTCCCTAAGTGCCTGCGATGATTATTCAGTAGTTCCCTGCAGGACCCAGGGGAGGGTCCCTAGTACAGTTTTGTAGATGCTTGAACAAGGGGGCTGCAACATGATAAGGAAAAGTTTATTGCCTTTGGGACTTTCTCTTGGCCTGTGGACTTTGAACACCCCAGCAAGGTACCCTAGAAAATGATGTGAACTCCTTACTAAAGTGGATCATAGACAGCAGGAGGAAAACTGTCCACACTAAGCCAAATTGAATGAATTGCCATAGCAGATGGTAAAAAAAGGAATAAAAGTCTCAAAAAAAGTAGGCATGCTAGAATGAACATTATATGAGGTCAGAATACCCTAGAAGATTTTGTTCCAGGAGAAGCCACAGAGGATAGCTGATCACCAAGGCCATTAGTAAGATGTTCCTGAAATGGGCACTAAAATCATTAGGTTCAGTAGTAGCTGCCCTCTGCGGCCACAGCTGGTGCTGAGAGAGGCTTCCCAAAACTTGAGACCATTCCCTAAAGATGGGTGCCATTGTCCAGAATGTTGTGTATGCGTTTGAATTGGAGACAGCTATATGGGGGCATTGTCTCTACTAGGAAGAATTCATGGGTCCTGGAACAGTGGCTCCCAATCCAATGTGTTTTTGCC